GAGTCTAATCTTGAAAGAGTCAGGCTTACATCTGAAAGGTTGGAAACTTTTTATTTCGTCTCAACAGAGGGTATTCGACACCTTATATCAAATAGGATTTTACTCACCGAGTTCACGGAACTGAACTGATCGATTTCGCTGAATTTGATTTCTGTTAAAAAACCTGGATACTGAACGCGGGAAGAACAGTGCCATACTGTACTGCTCGACATTTAATCGATGGTACAGCTTTTGGAGGACCGAGACAAAAGATCCGGACGGTGCTTGATGGCCAACTGTGAAAACGAAAAAATAAGCCTTTTCACGGCACTTGGATGGTTAAATCTGAGAAATCTGGCGATATAACTTTACGCAAAGTTGCAAATTTGTGGTGCCATGTCGAAAACGAAAAATGAAATTTTCAGGTCGTTCAAAGCAGTGAATATGTTAATTCCAACTTAGTTGTTTCTAATTCGTGGTTCATGTTTTGAGTTGCTTCAGGATTGTTTAGCTGGGCTATAGTTCATAGTATGAACAAAAGGAGTGGACAATACCAAATGAAAACAACATGTTTAGACTAGAGCATCGGTAAACCAACCCAAAATTCCGGCTGGAGTCAAACAGTTTTGTTGAAACCTTTGAAGGAATTCAATTTGTTCCACCCGAACAGTTGACACATTCGCTTTTCTTTCTTCCGAGCTAGACAATCGAGAGAACTTCGCTAGGGAAGAACAAGAGCTTACCCACTGCTGCTGCAGTAATACTGCTTTAGATACTGTCTATAGCCATAATCATTTTTAGCCGTGCAGCACAACCGTGCTGCTTAAGATTCCCTCTGTTCTTTAAAAGTAACGTACTTCATGTTGTTTCTCACGCAAAAACAGTTCCACGTTCGGGAGTGAGAGAAATAACAAGGTCACATGGGCGACTGTATTAGCATCACTACACGGAGGTACTCAGAGGCACCACATTTAGTACTTCGCCTACGTCAAATGGCAGTACCCCCACCCCCTCACTCCCACAGAAACACATACATCAGACGTGCGGTGGGAGCTCACGCGTTGTTTTTTTATCTGCTTCTGCCAATTAATCAAAGCAACGTAGAAGTATCGGATTTTCGTTAAATAGCAAATTTTCAAGCCATCGTCACGCTGTATGATACAACAGCATCTTCTGCAAATTGTTGTTCGTATTGACAGAAACATGAGCATATTCCACTGCAAAACGTCGTTATGCACATTCTGTCACAGCTTATTAAATCTGAATCTGAATTATATAAGTTAATAATACACAGAAAATAAATTTAGCAAAAATGGCCACTAATGAGTAGACAATCGATAATTAGCTTTAAGATGTACTAACCGTGCCCGATTGCGGCATCGCAAACACGTCCACCACACGGACTGTATAGTCATCGACAAACTCGCCCAGCATCAGGCCCATCACTTCCATAGGTACACCGGCCCGACCATGCTTCAGCATCTTCAAAAGGGCTAAGGATGAAATGTAAACCTGCTCAGCAGTATCTACCGTAGGATTGTCACCAGGGGGACCAGTGGGAATCTGAAAAGAGCACAAAACTAAAGTCGAATGAGCACAAATCTGCAGCATAAGCGAACCTGTCCCAGATTTGCGAGACTGGCCCCGCCTAGTCGAAGAAGCCTTTCCATGGAGACACTGCTTTACAGGACTGAAAGAAAAAGATGACGAGACTAGCGAAGCTGAAAATCAAACGAAATCTTTTAGTAAAATCTGCAGTTTGAGAAAATTCAACAAACGACCATGTGTACAACAGCGCTATACGAGAACGCGATATCGCGGACAAAACGTCACACATCCGTGCAAAAGCTATGCATCGCATTCGAACACTGCAAACATACACGCTACTCCGGAAATATATAACATCCGACTAGTATCGGCAACAAAATACTGGCTTTCAATGCAGAACATGCATTGATGAGTCAACTTTACGATAAACACACCCATCCAACCGCTAACTAATGTGATTCGTTCCAAGAAAACCGTTCATAAGGTGAAATGAAAATTCGCAAATCGAAAATGAAATTTACAAGATTTTCGATGCAAAAAATTCCCACTCATTCCACTATACGAGAGTCATTGAACTTCTTAGTATAATAAAATAATACGTAATCAAAAAAAGAACTGCGTTAAAACGAAAACATAACCGCGATGATTTGGGGTAGACTCCACGAAGAGTTTTCGACACAGCAGTCGAAACATAATACTTAACATATATCGATACCGGAATGAAACGACGAAAACGAGAAGTGTAAAGACAGAAAAATTCATTTCCAATCAGGGCAATGACCGCAATAAAGGAGCCATGATGAAAATAAACCGAGAAAAGGCAAATAGCCTGACTTGGAAGGCTGGAACAATGACTGGAAAGGGAACGGAACTAGCAGAGGCTCTGCACAGAAGGAAACATGAATCGAAGTGGGAAAAGGTGAAAAATAAGTGCCCGGACTCATTTACCGCGGAAGATGAAGCAGAAGAAATGGAGTTGGGGCTGTACTGAATCAAGTGGTCAACGACAAAGTATTCGTCAAGTGAATTAATGACACAGTCATTAGCGTTAAGCCGACACTTGAAACCTGGCATCAGAAATATCGTGGATGCGTACGCCTGTCAAAATGGTAACAATGAAGACAAAGAATCTCCAGAATAATGGGAGTGCGTAAATCCTACACCACAAAATGTAGCACGAAACAAAAAACTGGTAATGGGGCGACTTTCCCAGCAACGTCCGAGAGGACTACAGAAGTATCCATTGCGGAAACATGCGTGATGCGTCAAATAAGAAGAGAATATCTTGCTGAAGACATTTGCGTCATGCACAACCCTGATGAATGCGTTCACAGAGAAAAGAGAAAATCAGTTCTTTGCGTGCCAGAGAGGGCAGATAAAGTCCGATCAACTGTGGGCTACTTTGAAAAAATGAACTGAAGAACGTAAGAGATAACAAGGCCATCCAAAGATAATTCGCTACAATCCAGCATTAACCACCTGCCCTAGAGTGGATTCGAAACACTATAAAGAAGAGGAATATACAACGAAAAACTTGAAGATAAAGTTGCGAAAGATCGAAGGGTCGTCCGGAGGGAAGTTGCGAGAAAAATTATGAAGGAATGCTGAACAGGAGTGAATGAAGTTCGGCAGTGAATGGTCAGCAAAATCACAGGGAATGCCAAAAGTCTAGTCGGAGAAACAAAAGGCACAACGCATATCCAAAAAGAAACGTGGTGGTGAAATGCGGACGTGCAAGCTATCCGACGAAAGAGGAAAGAGCTGTTTAAGACACTGTAACTATCACACAGCACGAAAGACAGAGTAAAATATGCCAGCCACGTCAAAGAGGAAGGCAAATAAAGTCGTCGCCGAAACAAAGTCTATAGCGTGCAACAGTTTGTACGAAAACCTGCAACGAAGGAAGGCAAGAAAGACATCTATGGCACAGCAAAAGCCAGAGAAAAAAGAATCAGAGCCATCGGTAGAGTGCAATGCATAAAAGATGAAAAGAAGAGGTGACAGACAAGAAAAATATTCGCAACCGATGAAGATCCCAGAGAGGCAAGGGAAGTGATATCCAGAAATTAGGAACTAATCAAAAATGAATCACCCGATGAAGATGACGAAACCTTTGGTCGAAATATACATGAAAAGGCCCTTAGCGCAGACAGCTGTCCAATAGAAGCAAGAAATACACTGGAACAGAAATGTGTGTTCTCGCTGCGCACTAATTAATGTAATCGTTGACTATGAAAAAAATGCTGTAATCATGGAGGAAGTGCAATTCGATGCCAATACATAAAACGAAAGTAGACACACTGGCCTGTAAGAACTATCAGCCAGATCAATTGCTCAGTCACCAAGAAACCATATTAAAAGGTGTTGGACAAAAGACTGAGGAATGACAACGATATCACCGCGAACTAATTCGATTTTATGTCCGATCGATCGACACGGACGACATGTTTTGTTCAAGGTCCGTCCTACAAACACACAAGGTCGGAAGGACATTCACCTTATGTTGCTAGATCTGAATAACAGTTTTGAACGTATAGCAAGGAAGACAAATTGCTGAAGCATAAGAAAGAAGCTGGCGTCAGAAAAATGTTTTGTTCTTACCGAAGACGTAAGACAGAAATCGTTGATAGTCGTTGTTCGAATTACATGCTGTGAAACAAAGATTATATGTGTCGATATGGATTCATCATGGGTCACATCTGAACCCATTTCTATTATCGACGGCGTCACATACGATAACTAAAGATCTGCACGAACCGTTACCATACTGCATGCTTAATGGATTTGCTTTCTGCTGGGAAGCGAAACAGTAAAAGCAAAACCCGAGGCATGGAAAAGAATCTTTCACAAAAACGGCAATCAACTCAGTAAAGGCAAATCGAAACATACTGCGGGGAATTTCAGAAGGGGGAGAAGAAAATAGAGAAAGAGTTAACGAATCAGTGAAAATGGCAGACAGTAAGCTGCCTTAAGTACAAGAATTCAAATATTTTCATTCCATCGTGCAAACAAGACAGTGGGAAAACAACGAACTACGAAATCGATGTTAAAATCATTAAAACTCCGCCGTTGCCGGATGAGAAAGGAGGAGGGTTTGAGACCGTGGCAAGTCTCCGTAAAATTTAGCCACCTGCCACTCATGGTATTGACGCCATCGAAAATTATACCGGCTCGGACGTCGCCCGGGTTACCAAGGGCCACACAGGCTGTTGGGGGACTGAGGCAGACTACGAAAAGTCAGCGATCAAAACCTGCTCATCGCCCTCTGCCAGACGGGGGCGTACCAGCACAAAGACGGCTGACGAAAACCGACGT